CAATCTCAGATCAGAAGAACCAAACCAATCCAACAGTTCCAAAGATGCAAGATTTAAATTTCCCTCCATCATCCTCCTCAAAAGCCCCATTAAGTCTCTTTGATGACACAAGCACCAGCCTGGAATTAAAATTAGTTCCCTCATCACCACCCTCATGCAATTACCAGAGCCTATGCACTTTGGATAAAGTAAAATCAGCCCTTGAAAGGGCAGAGAAGGAACCGATTAAGCGGCGATCTTCGTCAATGTGGAAGTCATCGTTGTCATCATCACCATCCTACTCATCGTCGTCGTCATCCATCAAAGAAACTCAGGAGGAAGAGAGTGAAGAAAAACTATTTGCATCACCATTTGCAGCAGGGTGTCCTGGTTGCTTATCTTATGTACTGATAATGAGAAATAACCCGAAATGTCCTAGGTGCAATTCCGTTGTCCCATTGCCAATGATGAAGAAACCTCGGCTTGATCTTAACAGATCAACTTGAGTTCATATGATTTTTGTATATGATATTCTACAACTAGTCTTTTTCATGAAGAGTAGATCTGTTAGTTCTTATAGAAGAGTAATATGTACATTCAAAAGGTTGTTTGCTTTTTCTAGCATAATTTATAAGACTTCTATTGGTTTATGCCTTGTTCATTCTTCTTCCACATTCTGATCTGTTTCTGTGTTATGGCAATTTTGTTCCCTGGTCTCGTGTAGCAAATACCATTCATTGTCCTCTTTCAATTTGCGGCATAAATGGATGCATCAATTTATTACGGGTGCAGAGTGGGGAGCACAAAACATCTGCTCTAGCCAACTTAGCTAATCCTGCCCGAATTTTGTAAATAGAGAATCCTTTTTTATATAAAGAAGAATAGATTGTAAAGAGCTATTATGAAATTCAGTTTCTGAATTAAAATTGTTGCTTCTGTGGCAAGTTATTGGCAGCATTATATGCATCCCAAATGGACCACAGGGGTATATTAAAGAACTTGTATGTCTTATAAACATGGCAGAGGTTCTGCAGAAACTTTTATAGATCCTGGCATTATTAATCATTTTCGTTCTGCAGTAAGTTGAAGCTCATCTCAGTATATATATATATATATATATATATATAGAGAGAGAGAGAGAGAGAGAGAGAGAGAGAGATGATTTAACAGAGTGATTGCAAATTTCTGAAAGATAAAAAATTAAATTGTATTATTTTTTAAATAAATAAAAAACCCGAGTTCTTTTATTTTTCCTTTGCTCTGCATTCATATGCCATTAATCTATTAAGAAATGCATTCCAATTGAAGCGTCAACCTACCAATCTAGAACTTTATCCTGAAGCACCTAGATTAGAAAATCAGTGCTTCAATTTCTGAATAATTAAAATCCAACTGAGTTGCTTTACAGTTGCCACTGCCAAAAGAAAATAAAATACCATACACTTCCACCTAACCTCACCTATTTTTTGCAATTTTTTTTTCCCATCCATTAATCCTATTTTAAAAGGCCTGCTGATTTTGCCCTTTTTTTATTTTATATATATCTAAAATCTAGTTGAGTTTTTTTTTTTTCTTGGGGGAAGTGGTTCAAATTTTGACATCATCACTGTCTGTTGCCGGCCATCTCAATTAGACACAACACTAAATTTGAAGTCAAGGTTATCCACCACAATCTACACATGTTTTGTCAATCAATTTAGCCACCATATTTTTAATTAATTAATTATTTGTTTGTTTTGTTGTGTTGTGTTTGGAAGCAAGATAACCATTAGTTTCCCACCTACTTTGGCGTCCCTTCTTAATTTGATGCTGAACATCATAATCCAGAAATAAAGCTGGAGGAAACTCTGCTCCTGATTAAAACTAAGGGGTACACATATTCAGGTTAGGTCTATAAATGCTCATGGTAGCATTCATGCCATATTAAATACCCACCCTCTTCCTGACTGTCCTGTAGTCATATACTATATAACATAACACATACATTATACACAACATATACGTATATGTATTTAGGTAGGCTTGATTAGTGCTACCTAACCTATACTTATCATGAGATGACATTTTGGAGTGAGCCCGGCGACCGATTAGTGCCGCATGACATTTCGTAATTTTGTAACGTTTGACTGTTGCTCTACGTATACGTACATCACCTATGAAATGTGGCAAGGAGGACCAGGCTAGTTAAGGAAACTCATTAATCGGAGATTGTGACTTGTATCCATGCATTTGGAACCCTTGAAGTGATTCAACATATTGGCCATCCTCTGGCATTAACTCACATGAATATAGGGGCTTTTCTTCATCTCCACAACAATCTTTTTGGGTTTGGTGGTGTGCAATTATAAATAAGAGATAGTGATGTCAAAAAATATGGTTGTGTCGTATAAATGTTTGAAAACAGCATTCAACTACAAATTGTCAAACTGATGTGGTTTAATGGCTCCTGCGTGGAGCTAATTATGGGCATTTAGTAGACCAATTCATTAATATACCTAACGAACATTAAATGGAGAATTTAATTTCATCATACTCCTTTAAAGTTTTGCTTACCTACCTTCTTCTCAGAGTTTAATTCTTTTTATTTTCTCTGGCCAAAATATTTTTGGAGATTCACTATTATACCCAATATAGGAGGCTAAATTATTTTTTAAAAAAACCCTATATGAAATGGACTTTAGAACAAGTCCACCCCAAAAGGCTAAGGCAAGGCAAGGGCTGCACTATTCATGTGAATAGTGGCAGCCTTGCCTTTTTTGGTTCCACCCCAAAAGGCTAGGGCAAGGGCAAGAAGAAAAAAAAGATTATGCAACAAAATATAAACAATTTAGAAATGTAAGAAATAAAATGATTATGCAAGAAAAAAATTTAATATGGAAGAAAATATAAAAAAATTTACAAATACAAGAAAAAAAAATGATTACAATTTACAAATATTGGAAGGAGAAGAGTTTGTATGAGGATTTGGTGTGGAAAATGAATAAAATTGTTATGTATTTATAGGGAAAACATCAGTAATTTTTTTTGGATTTTTTTTCGATCGCTGACGTCAGCGTGACATTAGCGATGATGTCAGCGCCTTCGAGCTTGAGCCCAGGCTCGTGCGTCCCAATGCTTGCCCGGGCTGGTTTTGTTGCGCTGGAGGGGGATTTGGGCTCTCGGGGGGCTTGTTGCCAGGCAGGGCCCCTGCACTGGACATGCTCTTAGAAAGACACCCAAAGTTCATGTACAACATAACAAAAAGGCTTTTAACTTCTTTGAAATTAAAAAACTGCCATTGATTTCTTAAAACAAACCTAACCCCAAAACCTCATAAAAAAGCTCAAAACACTCAATAGGGCATCAAAGTAATTTAATAATCAAAATTATATTCAATAGGGCTAGCTGTAATTTTTTGGGTTTATTTATAGAAATTAAATGGTGTATGGTTTATTTATAGTTTTAATGCTAAGAAGTGGTATATGACTAAATATCTCAAATATTTTCCCTATATAATTTCAACCAAAAAAAAGAAGAAGAAAATCTTTTATTATATATTGGCTTTTATATACACAAATAGCCCATATTTTTTTGTAGGTGGGCTAAGTTAGGCCTACCCCTGCCCTCGGACACTTTTGAGGTTTCAATGTCAGCCACAAGGGTTCATGCGCTTATTGACCGTATATGGCCTAGCTAGGTAAAAGCAAAAATGGAACATATTCCCTGCAAGTGGGGCTCATTTGGGATCTGTGTGAGTTCCTAGACGATGATCCATATATGCTATTGCAAGTGTATGTTTTTCAATTTTTAGTGATATATATGGTCTTCTTGTTGCACCTAACCCAAGCTACCTATTCCTATTTCCCCCTTGGAATATTTAGATAACTATTACATATATAGTCAGATATCATCTCTATAAAAAATCACTTGAATCCGAAATCTTTTTTTTTTTTATGAAAGAAAGTTTTCCTACGTAAACCCTAAATTCGAAACCATTTGACCACTCAATTAGATGGGTATTATTATAATTTTTTCTTGAAGCATCGTGTTGGTCCCAAGTAGATGCTTTAATGATTTTCAATTTGCATGATTTTTTATAAGGATGATATATAAATGAAGACTTGAAAAATAGACGGTTTGGATTGTTGAAAAAAATTTGTAGGGGACCCTAAAGAGTGTCCCTCAATAGAAATGGATTGTATATATATAGTTAACTTTTGACATAAATTGTTGGGTTGACTTTACAAATTTTGAGCAATTTTCATTTGGTGTATCAAATTTTTTGACCTAATTAATATAATTCAGATACTCTTGTCATGCATGTTTTCACGATATAACATATATAGTTTGTGTTTGTGTTGTATCATAACTTTTATTTTTCTTTCAATTCAACCATTTTTCGTTCATGAGATTTGAATTTAGGATATTTTCTAACAAAACAGAGGCTAATTACCACAAAATATAAGTATGTTTAGATCCGTGATATGGTTGTATATATATATATATTTTGGTTGAACTTCTGAACTTAGGTAATGCAAGTAATTATATATCAAGCATACATTGGTCATACTCGGCCACCATGACCATCTTCAACATCACCAGAGAAAAAAACATTTCAACTAAATTAATTACCAGAAAAAAACATTTCACCTACATGACCATGCAAACATTAATGAAACGCGTTAATGCGAAAATGAAAGAAAAGAAATGTCCCCCTCCTCTCATTCATGATGCCTTGTTTGAACACTCGTTGTAATCCTTTCTCATTCAAATAATACAACCGCTATTCACTCAAAAACAAAAGAAATGTCCAAACCAAAGAAGTTGAAGTAACAATCAACAAATAAATGAATGAAGTTGAACTATAGCAATAAATGATGAACGGGACCAGTTGGTCACTTACCTAAGTTTCATGTAGGAGGTTAGGGTTTAGTGAACGCGAATATTGAAAGAAGGCGCACGGTTGCATGAGCGAGAGGTAAGCGAAAGTTCTCGATATTAACTGCTATATGTGATGTTACTAGTTTACATGTAATAAGGGTGAACGACAAGTTTATACTTTACAGTATATATATATATATATATATATATATATATATATATATATATATATATATATATATATATATATATATATATATATATATATATATATATATATATATATATATATATATATATATATATATATATATATATATATATATATATATATATATATATATATATATATATATATATATATATATATATATATATATATATATATATATATATATATATATATATATATATATATATATATATATATATATATATATATATATATATATATATATATATATATATATATATATATATATATATATATATATATATATATATATATATATATATATATATATATATATATATATATATATATATATATATATATATATATATATATATATATATATATATATATATATATATATATATATATATATATATATATATATATATATATATATATATATATATATATATATATATATATATATATATATATTATAACATGAGCGGATTGCTCACCTGACGAAATTTTAGTACCCAGAGACGTACTATTGCAAAAAAAGCACATGCATTCTAATTTCATGATTGTTTGTTACTGTGTTTACATGTTCATAATATAACAATATC